GGACATCGTGGCTGATTTCATGTGTTATAATGTATGCCTCCTGCCACCACCCCCCCAAATGCGACAATGCATCATTGTGTCAGATTGTTTTCACTGCTTTGTGTTCAAGCTTCCTGCTCAAATATGGGTCCTTTACCAGATGTGAAAGTTTGTTTCACAACAAATACCGGAAGGGTGTGCTGCTATGTGTATGTGAGATGTGGCAACTTCTTCTGTTTGTCCACACTTTTCTCTTTTTTTGCTACCTTTTTACAAACACACTTGTACAGAGCGGCTTGAGTAAGTGTTATGAATAATTTTTTTCACACATATTTCCTCTATATGCTAGAGTTTTTCCTCACTCTGTCATTTATCCCTCTGACACACAAAACTTCCTTTTCAAACCTCACTGCGTGATGAGTAAAAGATGAGGCCACATGGCGTATTGTGTGAAAGGCCCAATGTGATACATCATTTTATGGAATTGTGCATTTGGGTTTGATTCCTGCCAGCTGTCTATTAACTTCAAAGCATGCCTCGGTCAGGGTTGGTGTTCTAGTGTTCTGCTGAAGTCAGGGATATCACTTCCTGTTGTTGCAAAGTGTTCCATCTCCAATGGCCAAATTTTAAATTAAAGGGGAAATACATTCATTCATATATTTGCCAAGAGGAATTTACTCTACTTGCATGTCTCCACAGTTAATATGAGGATATTGCTACCTATAGTTAGCTTACAAGGGTTTAACTTAGCAGATTTTATGACCTTGAATGCAGCCGGGCTAGCCTTTTTTTCCTGATCAGAGTTGTGAGTCTTCTAAACAGAGCGAAACTGGCACATTTGCACTTTTGTCAGACTTTTATGTAAGAAAAACTTTATGTGAAGCGGCGCCAAGAAACTACTTAGCTTAGCATAAAGAATAAAATAAAACAAAGAGCTATCTTAACAGACAAGAACCTCTAAAGCCAGTTAGTTGTGTGATTGTGTTTTCCCTTTGTGCAACACACAATCATGTAATCCCCCGTTTGCCAGGCAATACTGTCCATCTTTACTCAAGGCTATGCAGCTGCAAGCTGTTACATACTATATTTACCTTCTAGAGCAGAAAAATACGTTTGTGGTTAAGGCTTTCTGTATTTTTTACATGAGGTTAAAGTTAAACCCTAGATTAAAAGATGTAAAACATGGGTGTAGTCACAATGATAACACCCTCTGGTTAGTGCATAAAAGCCTCAACCTGGGTGTTTTTGCTGTCACTATCTTTTCACTACTGATAAGTGATAGTCATTAGCCAATAAGCACATCCTGGATGACCATGCTTTCTCGCTCTAATAGTAACCTTCATTTGCAATATGAAATTATGAACTTTGACCTGGAAGTAGTGACTGAGTCTATTGGGACAAAGTTTGGTGGTCACTGGACAAGGTTCGTTTTGCATAGACTTTTAGAGAGCCGGAAGTCTTGTTGCAAAAAGAGCAGTTGCCCAAAACCTAAGAAGCTTTCCTTCATAAATCCTGTCTAACACAAAGCCTTGAATGTAAACGTTGACCAACAGTCAGCAGTAACGTGCTATACTCAAGCAAGAAATCATCCGAACAAAAGAAAACTGAAAAGTATTTTTTAAGCCGCTTCACCTTCGCAATATAAATCTCAGCTACTTATATTGCCCAAAGGTGCTGTTTTCCACCTTTGACTCAGAAACAAGGAGGCACAGCTGTGCAGCTGCTGTAAAAACTGCTTCTGGTTAGGGCCACATACCAAGTGATGCTGCATGTTTTAATTCTCACAAACTCCGATCTTCGAAGAAAGGCCTGTGGTTTGCAGAATGAGGCACAAACTGCAGTTCTGGAGGCCAATTTGTTCTGTTCGCAATGTTTATCTGCTTCATTTCCTCCTGCCTGTCAGAGATGTGCTCACTGAGCTGCACAGTGGTTTTATACAACAGTCATTTTGAACTAGTTGTGAATGCTGGGAGTTTCACATTCAAACAACCACCCTCCTTTTTACCCCCGCAGGCTTTTTAACAGCCCTGGCTAGTTCCTGTTTATGTATTCCTCCCTAAAACAGCACACATCCATGAGCACACCGCAAAGCCCTCAATTTCCTGTAGTCATAACACACCAAATATTATGCACATTCGGATAAAAAGCTTGACAGATTACAGACTGTAAACAGAATGAGTGGGAAAAACAAAGGTAGAGACTACTTGGTAGCAGATGTGGGATAACAGGCACTTTCGATTCCCTTTCTGAAACTGAGGCACGCCTAACACCTGTTCAGCGCAGAGCGACCCCACTCAGCCCAAACTTTAAATAATGGTGATATTGTAACCACCTGCTAATTTCTCTAGTAATCAGCTTTGGATTTGCCCACAAATGCCTTTCACCCTATCTGATTGAATTCAAAGCCTCAGCTTGATTTATAGCTCTCCAGGTCTGACACTTTCCCACCCCCGCTGCCTTCCCCTCCTACAGAATGTCTCCCTCTCCTCTGCTGCCACCTCTCTTTCCTGTGTTCCCGCCATACCTTTTTACAGAGTACGTGGCCTTTGCTGCAAGCTGAAGAGTTGAGTAGGGAGCAGAGGAATCCAAATATCCCAGATGACCGCTTAATTATTTGCAGACCATTTGCAAAACAGTTTGTGAAGGCTGATACATAATTAGAAGTAACCCTGTTCACATCTATTCACAATTAGATCCTTAGTTGTCACAATTTTGGGATTGCTGTTCTTCTGCCAAGTTAGTAGGAGTCGTACCAAGTTGGATTCCAGCTCTGCCTACGCCGCGTGCCTTTAAATTCTCCTTTCAGGTGTTTAAATCAGTTAAAAGCATCACTGAACAAACAGCTCAAAAAAAGACTTCAACATTCAGGCGGCCTCCGTGGTGGTAATCAAGGAGGATTAAATTGGATTAGCTAATAAAAAGCAAACTTGAGAAGGTAGAGGACAGACAGAGAGCACAGGACCATCCATCCCGGTGATGGCAAATATCCAGTGCACATGTCTGAGCTGCTGCTCATTGTCTGCTCTCTGTAATTATTTTCTTCTCAGCTTGATTTTCCTCCACCCCCCCGTTCTGTTTTAGTTCTTGCCTTCCTCAACTCACCATCCCTTCCTCCCTAATTTGTTGCTGTCGGTCCTTTGGCATAAAGCAGCAAAGCTTTTTACAATACAACCAATTATAGCTGGCTTTCCTGATAAGTGCACCACCACTGCAGGTTGAGGTGGAAGGAGGCAGCTGGAAGTGATGCTAAATATCAAGGGTGTCTGCTCCACAGGCCAGAAGTAATTGCACTGCAGCAGCAGAGGAGAACGCGAAAGAACAGAGATGCAGAGATTTCCTATTTTAATCTCTTCCACTCAGTTTTTTCTACACTCGGTTTTTTGAAGGCACTTTAATCCTTGAAATCCTGTCTTTTTAAAGCGCTCTACCTTTCAAGTCAAGCACCACTTCAGTGTTTGTGTACATGAGATCACAGAGGCCATGGGTGACTTTGAGGTGACTGATGATCAAATGAGCCAGCATGTGACAAAATGGACTTTGGACTATTTTTTTTATTTTTTATTATTGATTTGTTGGTCGCTGACAGAAGTGTGTAAGTGGGAGCCACACGCATGATGGTTGATGCTGAATGTCTGCCTCATTTGCATTCTCTGGATGAGCAGCTGTTAATCTGGATGAGCAAGTGCACAAAAGCAGGCTTGTCCAATATTCAAAATAGCAGCGGGAGCTACATCAGCAACGTGTAGCTCCAGCCAAATGAGCTACACACTGAAAACACTGAAGTGACTTCTCTGTTTTAGCCTCTCGCATGCAGCAAAAAAACATCAGTAGGGATTCCAGCTTACAAGTGAAATCCCACGGCTCTGACACCACGGCTCAGGGTGGATAAAGCTGGGGTGAACTTGGCGAAGACGCTGCAGTGTGAGTAAGCGTCCACACACTCCGAGATGCCTCCTAATCCCTGCTGCTCTGCACGCATTGGCACGAAATCACCTTGAATCATTACATTTAAGACAGCTGCAGTCTGCACAAGAAAACAAGCAATGAAGAGGTTGACTGAAGGCTGAGAAAGCTACACCTGACCTGTCACTCGTTTGACTCACCACTCGGGCCTGCTGAATCACAATCAGCTGGGATGTGGCCTACAGTGTTGCGTTACAGTCGAGGTAAATTCCTTTCAATGCAGGTATCATTACATCCGTTGGTTTAGTAGCAGAGCAGCCAGTAATCCTGAGACTCAGTGCATGTGCAATATAAAGCACACCTCACTGTGCTGTCAGCTCTGAAAGATGCATAAGGTTTAAAGAGAAGAACTCAGCTGGAGCTTTGGCATCTTGAGCTGTAACTGTGCGTGCCAGCAGACCTCTGTTAACCATCATTCTCATGCCAGCTGAAGCAGGACAAAGATTTTAGATTTTAGAAATAGGCATCCCTCTACCCCCACCCCAGCCACCGCCAGTGTAGCTGCAGCTCTAAGCATCTCAGCTTTATATTGTGGTTATAGTGAGTCTATTAATAGCCACAAAGATAATGCATTTCTTCATTCATTCTTACACACAGCCGCCGACGCTTGTTGTTTGCAAGCTAGATATACACAAACACACAAGCACACAGTCAGTCACACACTGGGCCCTGTGAATAGCACCATCACTGTCTGAACACTGTTCAACAGGTAGACATATCCGCAGCTGCAAGTCTGAGCCCAGCAGCACTAAGTTCACCTCCTTTTTTCCACAATGAATCGACGTGAAATTATCAGACAGACAATGCAGTTGTTGATGGTGCAATCAGGCATGCCCATGCGCGATTTCACTGTTGCAAAAGAAGTAACACTTGCACTCATGCATTAGTCAGCCTATCGAGGTTGTGAAAGGTTTGCAACAGAACCAGAAAAGGACGTGTAACGTTTCAGCAGATTTCTTCAAGAAATAGGTGCCATAGTTGAGCTCCACCTTGCAGACTAAAAAAGGAAAAAAAGTGGCACCAGTGTTGTACTAACAAGTAAATAGGAGATTTCTTACCTTTAGAGTTTGAAGCGTCCCATGCTCTGAGAGGAGAGGCTGGAGTGACAACAGTTGTGGAGTGAGCTCTGATATGGGAAGCGTTACATCACCGTAACACTGTCGAACTCACAAAGTCGGTTCGGCGACCGAGTGAGTCGGCAAAGATGGGAGCCCGCAAGAAGTCATCAGATGATAAACAACTGGGGTCCGACCTCGGGGGGTTAATGCTGCTGCTGTGAACGGGCCATGCGGCTGTCTTCAAGTTCTCGAGTGGCGCACTCGGAAGCACGTTGTGGATGTGATGCGTGTTGGTGCAGCGGAGGCAGCCGAGCTCAGTTATCTGCTCGCAGCTGGAACGCGTGCCAGTCTTCTAGTGTTCCAGCTGTGCAGCTCAAACACACTGCAGAGCCACAGTCCCGCCTATTGGTAGTATGACTGCAACACCGCCACAACCTGTCCACGGGGCTTTTCATCGTCTGATCGCTTTTCTGAGAGATCGAGGCGTCCTATCAGCCGGAATCACATATTTATTAAATGTGGACGTGTGTTACCTGAAAAAAACCTCATGAAAATGTAAATGTTTTGGTGAGTGAGTGCTGTTTAGCAGATATATATATGATGTGTATATATATATATATATATGATATATGATGTAGTTGTTTTTTTGAATTTTGGTTTATGCGTCGAAAGTTCAAAAGTCCTCCCAAAGATCCTTCAGGATATTTATTATTTTATACATAAATGTATTCATTTAATTATTTATTTCAGTCACATTCCTACAGCCCAGCTACCTGTTGCTGTAGATCACAGTTGTGTCCCTTCATTACGTCACGCGTTGCATTCAGGTCTCGCAGGAATAAGTATAAACAACAGAGAAAACATTAAATACTAAAAATACAGTATTTTTGCTGAAGTAATTTAAGCACAGCCACCAAAATTGTTTATTTGATAAGATTTTTTAGTACTATTTTTTAAAAATCTGTTAGACAGTATTTTATAACTAAGCGGGACGACAGGTATAAATAATAATATAAGTATTTTTTCGTTTTCTTCTTATAAATAGAAAAATAATCAGTTAAATAAATCATACCACGTATTTTGATGTTAAGTCATGTTCGGGTTTTACAGACCAAGGTTTAAATAATGCAACAAATATCGTACGCTCCGGGGTACAAGTTTGATGTTTCCGAAAACTTTGAAAGCAGCATTTCATGATTCCGCCCCACCAGGAAGACGCAGAGAGCAAGAACTAACCATAGGTGCGTTTAAAAAAAGAACTTTTCATACATTTTACATGAAAAGAAAAGAGATAAATACTTCGAGGTTAGCCACACTTAACCGAGGTGTCTAATTACGAATGTATGCTAATTAGCTGTAGGCTAAGTTACACTGAATAGTGCAGAAATACTTTCTGTGGTTGGGGTTTTTCAAAAAGCAGAAATGCATTGTATGGTGTGTTGAAATAGCATACGTACAAGTATATCATATACATATATATATACATATATACACACATATATATAGATATATATATATCTATATATATAAGAGGCTGAAGAAGTTGTTTAGATTAGTGACCAAACGTTTCTCACACTGAAAACCTTACGTCCAGATGATTGAGCATGCGCCAATACAACATATGAAATTGCAGTTCGGTTAATAGTGTATGTTTTATACTCCTTCCAGCTGAAAGGTGACATTCGACTTCACAAACCAAAAACAACTTTCACAATGATGTTTTATATATAGTTTGAAATCCGACATATTATTGAAGAATTTCAGAATATTCTTACTGAACTAAACTTAGGTCCGTATGCATTCATTGTTATGTGTTATAAGCAAATTCTTTAAAGTGAACTAGATGAGGAATTTTTGAAAAGTCCTGACAAATTAGGCCGTTAACACTATATATTTAGTCCCCTTTTAAAAGTATACAAGTTCAATTTCATCACGCGTTTTGTTGATTTATTTGTGTGTTTGTTTTTTACATTTTTATCGTAATGTTAATGTTTTAAAATATTACAAACGGGATGTGGAGCCGCTCTTTCTCAACAATATTTCAACAGTATTGTCATTTCATGGAATTTCCCTCTCTTGGATCACTCTCTTACAGGAACAGGGGTGAGGAGGCCAAGAGAGAAGGATTTTTTTTCCTTTCCGAAAACAGCTAACTGCGTCTGTTTGCCACAATGGACAGTCGAAAGGTGGGAGATTTACTGGACGAGTGCCTCGGGGCAGCAGAAGCAGCAGGTCGGCAGTCCACCGGGGTTTCTGAGGCAGGGCCCACCACACAAGAGCGGCTGAATTACTGCAGCTGCAGAGGTCAGACACAAGATGGTGCTGTTTAGTGTTTTTTGAGCATGTGAGATACTCAGAGATTTGGGTTAGGATCAAAGGTGAGGTGGAATTATGCTTGCATAAGCTCTGTACAGCTCTGTAGCTTCCATGGCATGAATTTGACACTTTGTGATGTTAAGCATGTGCCTTTAACTAATCCGGGCTGGTGTCTCGCATCTTATAGGGTCAACACACACGTACTGTTACATGTTACTGCTAAACAAGGGACAAAACATGCTCCATTTCATTTAGATTTTTCATATAAATGATGTTTTGCTGCTTATTTTAGAATCTTAGACCTAAAACTGTCCAAGGCAGCTTAAACTAAGTCTAAGTAAATTAAGTCTTCCTTTTGGGAACTTCCTGTTATTGGTTCAAACAGCAGTACATTTCTAAACAGCAATCCAGCTTTTCCTTGTGTTGCGTTGCGTTGATGTGAATCTTTCATGCTTTTTTTTTGTATATACTTTTTCTAATGGTGGATGCTAATATTAACCATGGTCAAAGTTTCAAATAAAGAGGTCAGTTTATGTACTAGTAATCCCCGTGTAGCTTGAATGTAGTCACTTTAGGTAAAGATATTCTTTTGTGAATACATTTTGAAAGCATCAGTGTATCTTAAGCCCAATACTGTTTGCTCATCTGGGTTTTATTTCCTGTAGACTCGCTGTGTGCCGAACTGGCCTCTCTCCTGCAGGAAGCCATGGACATGAAATGGCCTTTTGCACCGGAGAAGTGGCAGTATAAGCAGTCTGTCAGCGCTGCTGACAAAACCAACCTCAATGACCTCATCAGCAAACACTTGTCTCAACTACTGGTAATAATTAAACAATAGCCTATTCAGCTTGGCACCCTGTGGTGTCATTGTAAATAAAAACATAAGCACAATCCCAAACGTTGTGTTTACTGTGTCTGCCAGGATCTCCTGAAGGCCTGCATCAGAGCTGAGGAGGCACACTGTGCACTGGCAGTTGTCTTCTTAGTGGACCGTTACCTCTACTGGACTGATGATTCAAGCCGTCTGCTGAAGATTGCCAAGCTTCTCCACAGACGCTACCCCGAGACCCCCATAGCCCCCCAGCTGGTCATACGGCAGGCCAGGGTCTATTTTAACTCGGGTACAGTGCAGTGAAAGATTGGGATCGATGCTTTTAAAGTATTTTTTGTCTTCTCATCTCTGTGTGATATCAGTGACACGGGATTTGTCTAATATGGTCATTTCAGCTACGCCGTGAGCACAGAAGCTCCACCCATCAGCTCCACCCATCAGCTGCTCAAATCTTTTGTCTGCAGGGGGCAACAGATCAGTTTGGCATGTAGGGAGGGGTGAAAGAGCTAAAGCAGCTTTTTTTTCAGACAGTGCTGGACTAAGAGTGAAATAATAGCAATTTGGAGCTGGAAACGACTATATAAACTCCTGTTTGATACATGTTAGATGAGCAGTGCTATTTATTGTTTGGAGAAATTATAGTGATTGACGTAAACTCATAACCTGGAAATTGCACATGAACGGCTCTCACTCCTTAGTTATTTTTGCCACATTTCATTAAAGGGTTATTTTAAGTAAGGCTTGTGCAGACGTGGGTAAATAATCATTATCTGCCCCACAGGAAAACTGCAGAAGGCAGAGTACATCCTGAGCAGCCTGATTAACAACAGCGGGACGACAGGTAGTTTCCTGTCTGTTCCTTTTCACGGACATTTATTGAGGATTAAACTGAGTCCACAAAGTAAACAAATAATGTGCCTTTATCTTTTATGTGCAGGTCATTGGATATACCACTCTGAAAGTGACCGGGTGCTCGTGCAGGCTGTGAGTGTTCAAGTGCGTGGCACGATTTTGCAAAAGCTGGGTAAGATCACTTTTGTGACGTTAAAGATAATTGTCATTATTTTGTGATTATTTTTTATTGTCTTTGTGTTGTGTTTTAGGCCTGTGGTTAGAGGCTGCAGAGCTAATATGGGCTTCCTTGGTTGGGTACTACTCGCTTCCTCAACCTGACAAAAAGGTACCACAGACAATACTATCAGTTGGTTGCCATAGTTGGCATAGTTGGTTGAGGTTTAAATCAGGGATGTCAAACTCATTTGACATTGTGGGACACTCTGCTTTGTGTCAGCTTAAA